TCCTTCAAAACTCCATTGGAATTGTTCTTTTTTTCGTCTTTGGCAGTTTTTTCTACGATTTACATATACATCTACATTGACTATTTTCTTAAGTAGCCACTTAGTAAATACAACTGTTGATCAGTAATATCAAAACTTCGCTCGATCGAGTTTGAGATTTTTTTGCTGAATGCCGCCGTGACTTTGAGCTGTCTCTATGGAGAATAAAGTCCTCCAGAGCTTGAAATCAGACTCTCTTCTTGAGTTCTAATAAAAATAGCTCGGTATCCGGCTCGATCTACGAGTCTTCTGAAAAATCGAAATGTTGACGTTGTACATAGGCGTTTTTGTTTACTTTAATGCATCAGAAAAAAAGATCTAACTCATTGAAAATTTATTTCAGGCGTTAATTGTATAGTTTTACTTCGACTTGCATATTAGCGATTTGAAGTTGAAAAGGAGCGCGCCGAGAAAACCCCCATCTAGCCTTATTAAGGCATAACCTAATGATAATGTTAGTCTGATAAAGTTTGTGTTTAAAATAATATAATATAGCTTACCAGACTTTAAGCTAGGATCACACTCTCGATAGATCACTTTTGAATCTGTTTTGGATCAGTTTTGGATGGATCATCAGTTTTTATATAGCACTAACGATACTAACGACTGCTTAAACGACTTATATAGTATTGAACTTGGCTTACCCTCCAAACACACGCCACCGCTATTGTTTCACCAACCAATAACAATCGAGGGGGAGGGTACGGGGAGGCGTTTGTAACGAACGTCAAAATCTGTTGCACGACCACGATCTGTTGCCTATTCAAATCTTACTAAGCGGTCAAGCATATCAGATGCAAACAAGTTCCAAAGTTGAAGTTCCATTCATTTTTTTGGTTTTCAAAGCCGGCACTTTACGTTACTAGTAGGCTATTATTTATAGCTTAGTAGTAGCTTGTTCAATCAGAACGTTAGCCAAGAAATGATTAATAACAAATAAAATATCTTTTCAAGTGAGTGTTAAATATTTTCGAAATTCAATATATTGAAATCAGCTACCGGAAGCCAAAGTTATCCACATTAAACTACTTTGATACTCTAATGTGTTTTCCCAAACTAACATGGCACAATTTTGCTGTCCAAAGTTGTGGAATGCGCTCCCAAATGAACTTCGCAAAATTACATCTATTGAAACTTTTAAACGTCATCTGAAGACTTTGTAAATTAGCGTATAAATGCTAAGCTCCTATATCAGTCTACTCTTTTTACTATTTTGCTATGTTATCGTTATAGTAATCATATTATTGATGCATTACTTTTTATAGTATTCTTAGATTAGTAGTAGTAGTATTTGATTAGGAGTTAATAATTGTAATACTCATTTCATCATTATTTGCAATCTGCGCAATATAAATTAATTAATCATTATTAGAAATTTGCCGACTCAAAGGTCAACGGGAACTTAGTTAGGGGCTTTCCCTGTAGTCAACTTAATATAAATATCCCAGCATGTGTATCATAACAATACTCTCACACTCTGTAATGCGTCTAGGCACGCCGACTGTGATGACATCAATCACGAAAATGCATTTCCTTTTAAAAAAAACACCTCTTATTAGCAATTTACATTATTTTAGCAGTTAAAACATTCGTTTACGTAGATTCGGATTTCGGGACAATCCCTTTATTTTATTTTCATATTGCTATTCGGCGAATTTTTGCAAACTTTTGTACATTTTCATTTAGCTATAATGTGCCTTCGATTGTCAGGGATGCGGAAAAGGAATGTAGTGAGTCAGATTTCTTGGAACTAGAATGTGATATTCAAAGGAGTCACGTGAAGACCCTGTGGAGAATGCGTCTAGGCACGCCGMCTGTGATGACATCAATCACGAAAATGCATTTCCTTTTAAAAAAACACCTCTTATTAGCAATCTACATTATTTTAGCAGTTAAAACATTCGTTTACGTAGATTCGGATTTCGGGACAATCCCTTTATTTTATTTTCATATTGCTATTCGGCGACTTTTTGCAAACTTTTGTACATTTTCATTTAGCTATAATATGCCTTCGATTGTCAGGGATGCGGAAAAGGAATGTAGTGAGTCAGATTTCTTGGAACTAGAATGTGATATTCAAAGGAGTCACGTGAAGACCCTGTGGAGAATGCGTCTAGGCACGC